CGCACCCGGCTGACAGTTTTGATTTACATACTTTCCTCTGAGGGTTTGAGCACAAGGATTTCATTAAGAGAAACATTAAATAAATATGTGTGTGAAATACCACAGTTCTCATACACTGCCCTGTTTATTTCTGATACCAGTACAGCAGCTATCTGTAGCTATCCTTCTTCCTATTTTACAGAGAGGGAAACCAAGGCTTGTTGATGTGGGTATAGTCAGCGTGTCATCAGCCCTAAAGTTTTATTGGGCATCAGGGGATGCGGGCACCACAGGGAACCATGCCTCAGGTCCTTGTGGTCACTCCTCAGCCTCCAGTCTGGCCCCAGTCAGCACTGGGCCCTCTTCCCTCCGCCCAGGAGCAAAGATGCTCTGCAGCCTCTGCAGCCTCTGCGGCCTCTGCGCTTGCTGGCCCATGAAGCTTCTCAGTCCACTTTTGGCCTTGAATGTTTCAGCTGCCCTCAACCCCCGGGGCTCCCTGCAAGCCATTACCCCTAATCCATCCACATTCTCCATGCTCCTCCTTTCTTTCTTTTATTTTTTGAGACGGAGTTTCACAATTGTTGCCCAGGTTGGAGTGCAATGGCGTAATCTCATCTCACCACAACCTCTGCCTCCTAGGTTCAAGTGATCCTCCTGCCTTGGCCTCCCGAGTAGCTCGGATTACAGGTATGCGCCACCACACCCCGCTACTTTTTGTATTTTTAGTAGAGACCAGGTTTTACCATGTTGACCAGGCTGGTCTTGAACTCCTGACCTCAGGGGATCCGCCCACCTCGGCCTCCCAAAGTGCTGGGATTACAGGTGTGAGCCACCGTGCTCGGTCTCCAAAGACTTTTCACTCCTATTTAAATCTTTTCTGGGATAAATCTGTCATTGAAAGATCTCGTTTCAAAAGAGTTAACTAAATATTACCATTTAATCTCCAAGGTGTTTATGCCTGTCCTCCCTAACTGCTATGTGACGTCCATCAGGGTGGGGACCTTGTTTTGTACTGGTTCCTTTTTTTCATGATAAAATTTATTGCATTGACATGCTTCTTAAAAATTATGTATGTATTTGTTTAGAAACAGAGTTTTCCTCTGGCACCCAGGCTGCAGTGCCATGACATGATCACTGTTCATTGCAGCCTCGACCTCCTGGTCTCAAGTGCTCAAGTGATCCTCCCACCTCAGCCTCTTGAGTACCTGGGACTATAGGTGCGTGCCACCATGCACAGAAAATTTTTCTTTTGTTTTCTTTTTTTTCCTGAGACGGAGTCTTGCTCTGTCACCCAGGCTAGGGTGCAGAGGCACAATCTCTGCTCACTGCAACCTCTGCCTCCCAGGTTCAAGCGATTCTCCTGCCTCACTCAGTCTCCTGCGTAGCTGGGACTATAGGCATGTGCCACCATGCTGGGCTAATTTTTTGTATTTTTAGTAGAGATGGGGTTTCACCATTGTTGGTCAGGGTGGTCTCAAACTCCTGACCTTGTAATCTGCCCGCCTCAGCCTCCCAGAGAGCTGGGTTATAGGCATGAGCCACTGTGCCTGGTCATAATTTTCTATGTATTTATTTTTGAGACAGGGTCTCACTGTATTGCCTAAATTGGAGTACAATGGCGCTCCACTGAAGCCTGATCCTCCCTGGGCTGAGTCCTACTCAGCCTCCTGAGGAGCTGGGACTATAGGCGTGTGCTACCACACTTGACTAATCTTGCTATGTTTTGTACAGGCGGGGTTTCACCAAGTTGCTGCTCTCGAACTCTTGAGCTCAAGCAATCTTCTTGCCTCAGCCTCCCAAAGTGCCAGAAAAAAAGAATTTTTTTTTTTTTTTTTGTAGAAATGGGGTCTTGTGGTGTTACCTAGGCTGGTCTGGAATTCCTAGTTCAAGCAATCCTCCTGCCTCAGCCTCCTAAAGTGCTGGGATTACAGGTGTGCACCACTGTGACCAGCCTGACACACGTTTTAATAAGCATATATATATGTGTACATATACACACACACATATATTTCTTTTTCGAAGGGGGAAATAAAAGCTATTTGTGGTGAGCCTACCACTTACAATGTAAAATTCATGTCTGTGCTGTCTACATTTCAAGATTAGCTCACAATCACCACAGGGACTTACTGAAATGTAAAACGTCCCATAACAGTACTGTCTGTCCACACTGAGATGGAAATAAACCTCCATTAACCTGCAAGCAGATAGGTTACATGTGACAGTGCCAAACTGTGCACATATCTGAAATTCCAGTCTTCGCTGAGATTATTTTAGGTTTTATTATGAGATGCCCATACTAACACAAAATATTATTTCTTCCTTTTGAACAGTCATTTACATAGCCAGTAAAAAAAAGAGAACAGAGGCTGGGCTCGGTGGCTCATGCCTGTAATCCCAGCACTTTGGGAGGCTGAGGTGGGTCAATCACCTAAGGTCATGAGTTTGAGACCAGCCTGGCCAACATTGCGAAACCCCATCTCTACTAAAAATACAAAAAATTAGTCATGCATGGTTGCTCATGCCTGTAATCCCAGCTACTCAAGAGGCTGAGACAAGAGAATCACTTAAACCTGGGAGGTGGAAGTTGCAGTGACCCGAGATTGTGCCATTGCACTCCAGCCTGGATGACAGAGCGAAACTCAGTCTCAAAAAAGAACAGAGAATCGAGTCAGATTTTCCTTTGCTAACTGATCATCTGCTAGAAATGACATGCAGTAATACAATTAAAATTTAAGAAACACAAAAAATGAGCCCAGCAGAGCGGCTCACCTTGGTAATCCCAGCACTTTGGGAGGCTGAGGCAGGAGGACTGCTTCAGCCCAGGAGGTTAAGGCTGCAGTGAGCCATGATTGAACCACTGCACTCTAGCCTGGGTGACAGAGCAAGACCCTGTCTCAAAAAAAAAAAAGGGCAGTATTTCATTTTGAAGGATAACAATTAGCGCCATTAACCAAGTGTTCCAGTTGTCTAAAATGAGGCAGGTGTAGAGGGAAAATTTTCCCTGTACTCTCTGAAGGTTTCATAACTGAGTCTCTGAACTAAGCTGACAGTAGACAGAATTGTAAGAGAAAAAATATACAAATTTATAACATGTACTAGGGCATCCCAGAATCCAGTGATATCTGGAAGCTTATGTAGCCCCTTCATAGAAGAGAGGGGAGGCAGATGCAGGCAGCTCAGGGGAGAGAAAATGATTTTTGCTTTCAGAAGAATAGGTGGTGGCCTCTGGCAAAATCTGTCTGGGTGTGGAGCTGACTTCCCTTGGTGCTCTTCTCTGGTGATACTGGCTCATTCTTCCCTATTAATGAGACTTCCAGGAAGGGGCTCAAGACAATTGAGTTCCTTTGGGATGATCTGTCTTTACGTACATAACGGGGGATTCAGAGAATGCCCCTCCCTGCATTGGCAGGTCCCCATGTGCCCTCAGTTTGAGGGCATACTAATGTGGTAATCAGTGAACTAGTTAGTAATTGGTATCTTAACACGGCATAATTCGGGGTGGCATTTCTCCAACTCTTTCATTACTAACCAGCTATTATAAACCAAAAGTGATTCAAGTATTAAAAATGTCTTTTGAATATCTCCCAGGCTTAAACGATCACGAATTCATAAGCATTGTTAGTTCAGAAGGTGGCTGAGCAGGACCCCGGAATTCAGCGTCAGCATGCCACAGAATCTGAAGTTCAGAAAAGGTGTGACAAAAAGGAGTTTTTCTTTTTCTTTTTTTTTTTTTTTTGAGAGAGTTTCGCTCTTGCTGCCCAGGCTGCAGTGCAATGGCATGATCTCGGCTCACTGCAATCGCCTCCTCCTGGGTTCAAGCGATTCTTCTGCCTCAGCCTCTGGAGTAGATGGGATTACAGGAATGCGCCACCACGCCTGGCTAACTTTTTTTTGCATTTTTAGTAGAGACGAGGTTTCCCCTTGTGTCAGGCTGGTCTTGAACTCCCAACCTCAGGTGACCCACCTGCCTTGGCCTCCCAAAGTGTTGGGATTACAGGCGTGAGCCACTACGCCAGGTTGGCATTTTTATTTCTTAAAGGAAAGGATAAGGTGGGCTACGACTAAGACAACACAGTAGCAAACATCTGGCTGAGTGCTGGAGACGAAGACAGTGGGAGATCCAGGCCAGGCTCCATGCACGGAACCGCTTGTTGGCCTCTTTAGGCTTTGGATCTGTGCGACCTTTCGTTACTAGGAATGAAAGCCTGTCTGACTGCGCGGGGTCTGAGGTTCCCTGCTCCCGCTGGTCACCATCTGCACGCGTGTGGTATTAATCTCCAGGGTTAGAACCAGAACCCCTGCGGACGCGGGAAAGGCTCGCGAGTCTGGGGATGACCTCAAGTCCAGCGATCAAAGTGCGGCCCGTTTTCAGGAAACAACTGCCACGATTCAATCTAAAAAGCTTCTTCGGTGTTTTCGGCCACAGTTTGCTTCCATTTCCTTCCATCATTATTCCCTGGCGAAGTCTCCACGCACTCCCGTTCGCCGGGGAACTTAGGGTATCTGGCCTTCCCTAAATTGACGAGCGGGGCCGGTGCCTTCGCTTGCCTTCCCTGGCCGCCGCTTGATTTCTTTTTCCTCCCCTTCGAGGACTTCTCCGCCCGCGCCCGCGCCCCAGCTTTCGTCCCGCTGTGGGGAGATGCCACCCAGCTCCACGGGAGGACCGCGGGGCGAGAGGCGGCGGACGCGCTCCGGAGGCCGCCGGCCGAAGATGAAGGGCGCGACGACATCGCGGTTTCCAGAATGGGCTCCTTCTCGCCCAGAACAATCAGTGCCGTTTGGAATCTTCTCGGCCTTCTCTGCGCCGTCCGCGCGTCTGGGCTCCCCGGTACCGTGGACCCGGCCCCGAGCTCCGCCCCCTCGCCCTGGGCTTCCCCTCCCCTTCGCCCCAGTCTCCCGGCCTCTTCGGGGCGGCGGAAGAGCCGAGAACCTTCGCGAAGGCGGGGCGGGCGCCTCCGAGGCTGGGCCCGCGTTTTGGGCAGTGGAAACTGCACATGCGCGGCGTCAGGGCCGGGCGGAAGTTAACGTCGCTGTGCCGCCGCCGCGTGACGCATTTCCTGTTTGTTGTCGGAGAAAGGAGAGAAAGGAAAGCGCGAGGAGACGCCGCCACCACCAGCGCAGCGGTGCAGGAGCTGTAAGGAGATTCGGGCAGTCACCCCGCCTCCCCTGCGTCCCGCCACCAGCCGCCTCCGTCCTCGGTGCGAGTCTGTTTCGAGGGCCGGGGGAGGTCGCCTAGGGCCCTGCGCGCGCCCGGCAGACGGCGGACCTAACCCGGCTCCTGGCAACAGCGTGGGGGGTGACCGGGGTCGCCGGTCGGGGCAGTACTGGAAGGGGCGGGGGCCGTGGCCGGGGTTGCGGGGCGAAAGGTGGGCGGCGTCCTCTGGGTCTGGGGCCGAGGCCGGGGCCGGGGCTGGGGGCTGGGGCCGCCCGGCCGCGTCCTCCCCGCCCGGCGTCCTTGCCGGAACGCGGCCCGGCCTCCGCGGCGGCGGTTGGGGGTGGGGCCCGGCCTGGGAGCGGCCGGCTGGGGCTCGGCGGGGCCGGCAGCGTGGGAGGCGTGGAGCGCCTTCTTTCTAAGGCTCCTGCACTCGAGTCTGAAACCAGAAACGCGAGTGGCTTGCGGAGCGGGAATGCCGCTGCCGTGCCGCCAAGTTCGGAGGGAGAAGAAGCAGGTGGTGGACCGCAGAGCCCTGTTTCTAGAACTCCGGACGGATTGTTGAGAAGTTTGTGGAAGAGCAGGCTGCCTTTCTTATTCAGAACGTCTGTGTGCTTTGCTTTGCGTTAAAGAATCTGCACCGTAGTTGATGCAACTGAAGTTTATGTAACAAGTTTATATTAACTCTTACCCAACTGAGGAAGGTCAGTGACACACGAAGTATAAACTGCAAACCGTATATTGGCTCGAGAAAGGTTTTGGCGCTAGCGCATTTTTAAAAAAGGATGGGTTTTCTAGTCAGACGTAAACTTCTGTACTAATTTTCTCACATAAACGAGGCAGGAAGTAGCCCGAGTAGAACGATCGTGCCACCACCGAAGGGATGCCGCCTGCGAGCTCAGAGGCTTCAGCCTGTTTGGGAAGAGTAGGCTGAGCGGAGCTCTTTGTAATTTTTAACGTTTTTGTTAATATGAGTTGCGAATTTAGTAAGGATTTGTGGCTACAAGTTAAGCCAAATTATTGATTTAGTAGAAAAGTTAAGACTAAAGACCGAAGAAAGGAAAGTAAACAGAATGTAACTGCTAAAGCTTGGTTGCTGCTGCTTCGTGTTTAACCGCACTTTTCCAAATAATGTTGCATATCAGAACGATTCATGGTTTCTGAAAGGAATTGTATGCATCCACCTTACTACTCCGCCTGTCCATCCGTCCCGTTTTCTTTTTGGGTTTACTCCAAACTTTTTTTTTTTTTTTTGAGACGAAATCTGTTCTGTTGCCCAGGCCTAGGTGCAGTGGCGCGATCTCCACTCAGTGCAACCTCCAGCTCCCAGGTTTAAGCGATTCTCCTGCTTCAGCCTCCTGAGTAGCTGGGATTACGGCTGCTCGCCACCACGCCCGACTAATTTTTGTATTTTTAGTAGAGACGGGGTTTCACCGTGTCGGCCAGGCTTGTCTCGAACTTCTGACCTGAAGTGATCCGCCTGCCTCGGCCTCCCAAAGTGCTGGGATTACAGGCGTGAGCCACCGCGCCCAGCCGACTGCAGACTTGTTTCCACTTCTGAGAGCCTTAAGCTCCTTTGAAGTTGGTTCTTTCACATTTCTTTCTGCCTTCTGTGATAAAGGGGTGAATATTTTTTATGCACACTTTAATGAGCTGTGGGTGTTTATGGATTATTCTGGATGTGAAATTTGGGAAGTAAGTTGCCTTAAATTGGTAGATGTGGAGACTTGACAGGAAGTGGGAGAACAAAAGGATTGAGAACCTTTGAAAAATGCCTAACCAAAAAAAAAAAAATGCCTAACTAGGCTTAGTCTGTACTGTGGAACATGAGAAAGTTGGGAATTTCAGAGGGCAAAGCTCTTAAAGAATTTGAGATGAGTTCAACACTCTCTTCAAAACATCAGTGTTTTAAAACTTATTTTCTTCTGGATATGAAAGTATTAGGTTTGGGAAGTAATTCTGGCTGTAGGACAGTTTTTCCGGAACGCTAGGTGGTGAGTATTGTTGAATATTGTGAAGACTGAAATAAGGATATGGTAATACAGTGTGATACCTGTAACTGAGTGGCATACATTAGCTTTCATTTTTAAGCAAGTCCGTAATTCTCTTCTATTAACTGATTTGGACAGTTTCAAACGAATAGTGGTACCCATCACCTTCATCAGTTTTCCACCTAGGTAACCCAAATCCAGGTCTGAGGTGGGGGTGGGATGGTATGTTTGAACTTTTTTTTTTTTTTTGGAGACAGAGTTGCTCTGTTGCCCAGGCTGTAATGCAGTGGCGCGATGTCTGCAAGTTCACGCCATTCTCCTGTCCCAGCCTTCCGAGTAGATGGGATTACAGGCGCCCGCCCCCCATACCCGGCTGATTTTTTTGTAGTTTTTAGTAGAGATGGGATTTCACCATGTTAGCCGGGATGGTCTTGATCTCCTGACCTCATGATCCACCCGACTCGGCCTCCCAAGGTGCTGGGATTACAGGCGTGAGCCACCGCGGCTGGCCCTTTTTTTTATTTTTTATTTTTATTTTTTTGAGATGGAGTTTCACTGTTGCCCGTAATGGAGTACAATGGCGCCATCTTGGCTCACTGCAACTTCGCCTCCCAGGTTCAAGCGAATCTCCTGCCTCAGCCTCCGGAGTAGCTGGGATTACAGGCATGCGCCACCACACCCAGCTAATATTTTGTGTTTTTATTAGAGATGGGGGTTTCACCATGTTGTTAGGCTGGTCTCGAACTCCTGACCTCAGGTGATACACCTGCCCTGGCCTCCCAAAGTGCTGGATTACAGGCATGAGCCCCCTTGTCCGGCCGTCACTGTTAAGAGTATTTAACAAGAGGGCACTTCAAAACTTGGGCAGGTATTTTTAGTCATCCTGAACATGTCGCTGTGTACTGAGTGTCACCGCGGGACCGCACAGACACCTTATTGTCGTCTGCCGTAAAGGTCAGCTTCTATATTGGTTAATGCTTACGGATATGTGTTGATGAGGAATAAGGTAATCAGCCTTTGTGTTTGTGAGTTGATGATTTGACAGGATTTTTACTTCTTAATTTTTACTTGCATCGAGGTTACACAGTGGATTAACAGGGTTTTTGAGAAACGTTTTTAAAACTTTCTCTTTTCCTGGGAAGTGATTCTGTTCAAAATCTGGTTTGGTTAAATTTGTCCAGGACCCCACCTGGTGGTGAGAGGCGGGTAACTGCAGGCTCATTAGCGAGTAAGAATAGGATCAGTGGCAGGATTCAGCAAATGGTGTAGTTCCAGGATAGAATTTGAAAATACCAAACTCAAAAAAATGAGGTTACTGAGAAGAAAAGCAAAGTTGGTGAAAGCAAGAATATGTTAGAAATGATGATGTAGGAATGGAAAAATGACAACGCCTACCTGGAGAAAATGACTTCCTGAATAAGGCAACTAGTAAAAATGTGATGTTTTTTGTATTGATATTAATGAGGTGTTTTGTCAAACAAAATCGTTTATGTTTTTGTATGGATGCAAATCACTCTTGACCTGTTTCATGTTCCTGGAGACATCCTGCTTAAGAAGGAAGATTGATTTACTTGAGATGGAGTCCTTGCTCTGTTGCCCAGGCTGGAGTGCAGTGGCATGGGCTTGGCTCCCTGCACTCCCAGGTTCAAGCCATTCTCCTGCCTCAGCCTCCCAAGTAGCTGGAATTACAGGCGCGCGTCACTATGCCTGGCTACTTTTTGTATTTTTAGTAGAGATGGTTTTACCATGTTGGCCAGGCTGGTCTTGAACTCCTGACCTCAGGTGATCTCCCCGCCTTGGCCTCCTAAAGTGCTGGGATTACAGGCGTGACTTACTGCACTTGGCTTTTATTTATTTATTTATTTTTTTAGTGCAGCTGGAATTGCTCTGTGTACCCAGGCTGGTATCAAACTCCTGGCTTCAAGTGATTCTTCCACCCTGGCCTGCCACAGTTTGCAGAATTTACAAGTGGAGCCATGTGACTGGGCCAGGATTTTAGATTTTTTTTTTTTTTTTTTTTTTAGATGGAATCTCACTTTTGCAGGGCTGGATGCGTTGGCACCATTCGGGTCACTGCACCTCTGTCGCGGGTTCCAAGTGGATTCTTCTTGCCTCAGCTCTCTGAGTAGCTGGATTCAGGGACACCTGCCACCGGTGCCTGGGCTGATTTTTGTATTTTTGGTAGGATGGATTTCCACATTTGGCCAGGCTGGTCTTGACTACTGACTCTCCGTGCGTACCCTGCCTCGGTCGTTCCCAAGTGCGGGATTACAGGTGTGAGCCATGCCAGGCCAGTTTTGGATTTCTTAGTCTTGTTGAAAATAATGTGGTCTTTGGAAGGGATGTTTAGTTACGACTAATATGTTTTGCCTCTCTGATTTTTTCTACTTTTGCCACCAAAAGGCTAGTGGTTTTATATTTTTATGTGTATTAACTAGTGGCTGCTCTCGTTGGTATGCTTTGACTGTGTACCAATACTTTACCCTCCTCTGCACCTTGAGGATTGGGCATATACCACTGGGGTGGGCTTTGAATCGCAGTATTGTGGCCTCAGTGAATGGTCCCCCAGGGGGGACACGAGTGCTCAGACATATTGATTGATTAGATTCTTCTGGGTTGGTTTGTGTCCTGATGGGACCTTCTGTGATATATATGGAATGGGAATTCAAGAAGTTGGAAAGTAAGTTTCAGCAGCATTAGGAGACTGAGTACTTAACCCAGTGGTTGCTTCCTTTTTTTTGTTTTTTTTGGAGACAGAGCCTTGCCTCTGTCACCGACTGGAGTGCAGTGGTGCGATCTTGGTCACTTGCAACCTCCGCTCCCGGTACCTCAGCCTCCCAAGTAGCTGTACTAAGGCGCTGCCACCCCCCGGTATTTTTTGATTTTTGGTAGAGATGGGGTTTCACCATGTTTAGCCAGGATCGGTCTCGATCCCTGACCTTGTGATTTGCCGCCTCGGGCCTCCAAAGTGCTGGGATTACAGTGTGAGCCACGGCCGGCTATTTTGATTTTTTAATGAAAGGAATTTAGTTAGCTTGGAGTATCTAATAGGTGATGAGTGCCAGTTGAAGGAATGGTCTCTGATCTTGAGTAGTGGGGAAATACTTCCTGTGTTTGTTTCAGAAATGTTTTAGGATATACTGGATAGAATGAAATAAGGAAGGTGATGTGTGTGATAAGG